GCCACTTGAGCTACAGGCGCCGAGCCAGTTTTTGTATTTTTAATAGAAACGGGTTCTTATTTTTGCTTGGGTTGATCTTGAACTCATGAGCTCAAGCAGTCCACCCACCTCAGCCTCCCAGAGTGCTAGGATTACAGGTATGAGCCACTGCGCCCAGACTTTTATAGACAGAATCTCAAAACAAAAGGTTGCAGTGAGGTAAGCTAACATCACAGCAGTCTAACCTGAGCACCTGAAGTTAGAGTGCTATGATGTTAGTTTACCTCACTGCATCCTCAGTCCTTCTGCCTCAGCCTCCCAGTAGCTGGGACTACAGGTGCCTGCCACAATGCCTGGCTAATTTTTTCTGTTTTTAGTAGAGCCAGGGTCTTATTTTTCCTCAGGCTGGTCTAAGAGATCTTTCTGATTGCGAGAGATCCTTCCACCTCAGCTTCCCAGAATGTTAGGATTATAGGTGTGAGCCACTTTCCCCCACCCTTGATAAATTATTGTTCGCTGTGGACACCCTAGTATGCTACCAAACACTTGATCTTATTCCTTCTATCTAACTGTATTTTTGTACCCATTAACCAGTGCCTCTTTATCTCCCCATCCCCACTATCCTTCCCAAACTCTGACAACCACCATTCTATTCATTGCCTCTGTGAGAACAGTTTTTTTATCCATTATCCTCTAGTTCTGTTATGTTTCTGCAAATGACAAGAGTTCACGCTTTTTGTGGTAGAATACCGCCATGTTTTCTTCTTTTTTGTTTTGTTTTGTTTTACTTCTCACCAGAGTCAAGCTATAAAACCACATTTTCTTTATGGTTTCATCTACTGATATATATTTAAGTTGATTCATTCTCTTGGCTATTGTAAATAGGGCTGCAGTAAACATGAAAGTATAGATAACTCTTTAATATGTTGATTTCTTTTTTTTTTAATAGACTCTTACTTTGTCACCCCTGATAGAGTCCAGTGGCATCATAGCTCACAGCAACCTGAAACTCTTGGGCTCAAGAGATTCTCTTGCTTCAACCTCCTGAGTAGCTGGGACTACAGGTGCCTACTCCATGCCTAGCTATTTTTAGAGACAGGGTCTCACTCCAGCTGTAACTGGCCTCGAACTTGTGAGCTCAGGCAATCCACCCGCCTTGGCCTCCCAGAGCACTAGGATTACAGGCATGAGCCACCATGCCCGGCCATGGTGATTTCTTTTTTTGTTTGTTTGTTTGTTTTTTATTTTTCAGGTTTTTTTTTCTTTTTTTGAGACCGAGTCTCACTGTGTCACCCTCCATAGACTGCCGTGGTATCACAGCTCACAACATCCTTTAACTCTTGGGCTCAAGCAATTCTCTTGCCTCAGCCTTCCAAGTAGATAGGACTACAGGTACCCGCCACAACGCCCAGCTAGATTTCTTTTATTTTATATATATATGCCCAGCTAGAATTGCTGGGTCAGGTGGTAGTTTTTGTTTTTGTTTTTTTTCCTTAGTGCGTGTACTAATTTCAGGTTTTTATTTGTTTTTTATTTAAAAACTGTCAACCTTAATGGTATTAAAGAATATGGAGTAGAGGAAAGCTGGCACTTGGGCTAAGTTGAAAAATCAGGCCAAACTCAGTTGCTGATGCCTATAATCAATAGCACTTTTGAGACAGGAACATCACTTGAAGCCAGGAGTTGGAGACCAGCCTGGGTAACATAGTAAGACACACACACACACACCCCTATCACTACAAAAAAAAATAGAAAAATTAGCCAAGTGTGGTGGCACATGCCTATAAGTCCCAGCTACTCTGGAGGCTGAGGCAGGAGAATTACTTGCATCAGAGAGTTTGAGGTTACAGTGAGCTATAATGCCACTGTTTTCTATCTCAGGCAACAGAATGAAACCCTGTCACAAAAGGAGGGAGTACAAAACTGATGCTTTCCTTTACCTAATGAATTTACTGTCATAGAATAGAGAAAAAGAAAACTGTATTCATTCCCACAAATCTTTGCAAATAATAGAATTCTGATTTATAAAAAGGGAAAAGCCACTTTAAAAACAGACTGTGAGATGTGTTACTGTGAAAGCCTTTATTTTTAATTCAGAGGACTGTCCCATGTTTAGACTTTGTTCTCTAGCAACTCTTACTAAGGAGAAAAATGTAGAGGAGTGGTAAAAAAGAGAGGTTATCTTTTGCCAATTTGAGTTCATCTGACTGAAAAGGATTTTTAGATGTCTTAAACTTTACCCCCACCTCCATATTTGGCTGCATCATTTGAGGTCAAATTGGAAGCAGGGAATTATTTTTATTCAAACTCTTGCTTAGCTCTTAGCTCAACCCTCAAGCTTCTGTATTTTTTTTCTTTCTTTTGTGCAAAGGTGCTCTAGCCAACAAAGTGAAAAGGAAAGACACACTGGCAATGAAGTTGAACCACAGACCCAGTGAACCAGAACTGAACTTGAATATTTGGCCTCATAAAAGCAAGGAGGAGTGGAATGAAATTCGGCACCAGATTGGGAATACACTGATCCGGTAGGCCTTTGCTTAGATTAGCTTGATTTAATTTGATTATGCTGGTATTGTATGTTAGATGTTTACTTTGTGATGGACATTCATTTATTTTTTTGTTTCAATATAATGTTTAAAAATACATATTTCATCTGAAAAAAAAAAAAACATATTGAAGGCGGTGCCTGTGGCTCAGTGGTTAGGGCACTTGCCCCATATACCGAGGGTGGC